AAAGGTTTCATTTCAATGCTGCTCAACAGATTTAAAAAGGTTTCATTTCAATGCTGCTCAACAGATTTAACATATTAGGCTAAAAATTCAACAATTTATTGCCTTTTATCCAACAATCAGTTCATCTCAAATTTGACGCTTTCCTTCTTGAAACAAAAACATGAAGCATATAGATCTGCTAAATAGCTGCCATTAGAGCGTGGATGTTTATATACGCACACAAAGTTTAATCTGAAACGTAGCTTTCATTGTAGTTTTTGGTTTAATAATTCAATTTCAGAGAAAGTCTTTATGGTTGCAACTTTGCTCCATATTTTCTCCATTTTAAATGAGGTGCAGTTAAATCCTCAAGCACCAAACGATAACCTTGATAAAAAGACTTAATTTCCTTAATATATTTAATCAAATTCATCTTCTAGTTCCTTCTGCTTCTTAACTACAGATTTAATTTGTCCGTTATCAAAAATCAGGCTGTTTCGTCCACAATCTCATTTCATTCGTATACAAAAAGGAAACTATACAGACGCTTCTAATAAGGGACCTGCCTTCTATGGAGAGAAATTTGTACCAAATATTGAACACTTTTAAAAAGTAGAAATACAGAACTTCGAAAAATTTTTCAAAGAAACTGGTTGAGTATTTTATCCATATGCAGTGTGCAAATATATATGCAAATGTGACAAGTGGATTTCTCCTTATGGGAGCAATAAAGTCTCATAATTGCCAAAATCTAGTTTGTAAAGTTCAGTTTGCCCCCATCCCCCCCCCCCAAAAAAGTTTAATTTTCAAACATAGTGAACCAAAACCTTTACAGAGAGAAAAAAAAAATTCTCAGGAATATTGGAACAATTCTCTCTCCATAGATTTGCCACTAATTTCTCCAGTGTTCATCAAGCAGTTCATCCAACATGCAGCTTTAGAGAAGCTGAACTATATTTGCTCTTACCTCAAACATGTCTGCAGACTGGGAGCGACGTGAGGTTGATTGGTGACACCACTTCACTGCAGGTGATCAGCTTGCAAACACCTGAAGGACAAACACCCTGCTGCTGGTTTTACCTTTTTTTGTTTTTCTTTATTTTTTTCACAGCAGCATGAAGACTTGGACGACTTTGGTCACAAGCAAAGAACTCAGCGCCTGAGTTTGTCTTTTAAACCGGAGCTCAGCTCCTGCCTTCATGCAGAATGAACATCAGGTGTGCTGAAGTCCAGCAGCCAATGGGATCCCCTCACCTTCATTACCACGGACCAATCAAATCACACCTTTCACTGCAGCCATAGGAAGTTTACAGAGTTCAGGAGGAAACAGGATGAAAGAAGTAAAAGATATTAGAAGCTTTGGTTGGACTGTGCAGGAAAAAATAACAGAATTCAAAATAGATCAGATTAGTATAAGCCAAA